AAATATATATATATATATATATATATATATATATATATATATATATTCATATCTGCTACTAAAATCACGATTTCAGCCCGATTTACCTTACACAAGAGGTCGTGTCGCTTTTGGTGGTATCTTTGACTGTATCTGGGCTACAGTTCGTAGGTGCGTACGCTGAAACGACAAACAAGTTGCGTCTTTTGGAGCGACGACTATTTACTTTGCATGAGCCTCTAAGTCTCACTGCGCATAACCTACTGTCGGCTGGGATCCAATCCAGGAGCGCGGTTTCAGCTCCCTCACTGAGAGCCACGCCAACGCCAGCAAGACGGGAAACCGCAGCCTCAGTGTCCCCAGAAAGACGCAGATGAAACTTGGCAGATAGGTTTGACGGGGATGTCAATCGGATGGCGGGGCTAGAGTCTTGAATGCGAGTCTCTTAGATACAACACAAATCGATGGCTAGAGTCTCGAGAGTTCGAGCTAAACACGCCTGTTGTCCTATACGCGTCAAGGTACACACGTTAAATGTGGCTAGTTCGAGGACGAAGTAGGGCTTCAACTGGTGGAGGAAGATTCGTTGAGACTTGGATGCTATTCGAGGCAGGACACGAGAGAAAAGGGGCGGAATTTCCATCGGAGGCACAACTGGTAGTACGATCCTCTGAAGATCTTGATAATAATGTAATTGTTTGACGGGGGTGAATGTGGAGTGGAGGAAAAGATGGAAAAAAGAAGATATGCACTGTGTAAAGCGTATTTTCATGCGCGAGAACTCGAAGAGCGAGTTATTGATGAAGCTGAAATTCATTGTTTGCATTGTGGACTGTTGTACCACTCGGTCGCCCAGTCCAGAGTAGGCCTTGTTCGAGGATGCACCCCAGCCTTTACGCAACCAAGCGCGAGCTACAAGGCAGCAGCATTGTTCCACATAAGCCGGTGACCGGTCGGTTGGTTCATTCGCCTTCTCTGGAAGACTTTGTCGGGTTGATGGAATTCGACAAGGGGGCAATGGCCGTATTCAGTGACGGGCCACACTCACCACCTCACAGCGCTGTCATAAGATACATGTGGTGTTTTGTGTGGAGAACCCTTGTCAAGTGGTAAACCCACCGCATCCTCGAGCACTGCTGCTGATCGTCCGCGACCGCTTATTCAGTGACAATAAACCCACCTTATTCACAGTCAACCGCCAGTTAGCGGCCGTTTCCCTATCCGTGACTTGGGGACGTGCTTGGTAGCATACAGCTCTGCTCTAGTGTAGCCATGTTCGGTATGTATTTTTCACCTTCAAAGTGTAAAATGTTACTACAAGATTGGGTTGGTTCAGCACCCAACCTCACCCCGACTGAGGAAGTAGCACAGGAAGTAGACAAATTTTGTTATTTGGGCAGCTATATCTCACCTGGTGGAGGCGTCGCCGATGAAGTGTCGTCCGTCATACAGAATGCTCGGTTGGTATTGGCTAATTTGAAACGTCTGTGGTGCCGTCGCTACATCCGGCTATCTGTGAAGAATCGAGCATACGCTGCAGAAGTTCGGCCAGTGCTGCTCTACGGTGCGAAGACCTAGCCACTACGGGACCAGGATAAAAATAAATTACCGGTGTTCAAACACCGCTGTCTACGTCGCATTGCACGAATCTGGTGTAGTAACCGGACGATCAATGCTGAGGTTAGGTGTAGAGTTTTAGGTAATCGCAGTCAAGTGGTCAATCTCCATGGATTACGTTGGCTGGAACATGTGCTACGCATGTCACCAGATAGGTTGCCGCAGCGAGCAATGTTTGCCGAGACAAGTATCGGTTGAAAAATGGTCAAGGGCGGTCAACCTAAGACCTGGCACTGGTGTATGCAAACCCTAACCAGGATCACATAGGTCCCGTTAGGCTCCCTGAATGGGGACCCCGAGGCCATGGTCACCGGTGGTTAGAGGCACTGAGCGATATGGCTGGGTGGCGCTCATGCATCTACTCATTGTTCCTGCAACCTCAGTCTAAACGAGTTCTCTATCTTCCGCTTAAATTTGCTCTCAACATTCCAATCTTCATTCTGCTTTTATATCCAAATGGGTGGCCAGAAGACAGCAGCCAAAACCGGCTCACGAAAGTACATGGTTTTGGCAGTGATCAGTGAAGCTCACCTCACTGTATTTCGCTGTGCGATGATCATGGTTAATGGTTGTAAAAACTGAAAATAGGTCGGTCGTGTTCTGTGTTTGCCTTCCCATCATGTACCTTTCCATGTTGTCTTTGCACGTGCTGGATAAGACTGGAAGAAGCACCACGGCGGTTAGACCATAAGTCGGTTTCATTGTACGAAAAAGTTAGCTTCGGCATTGGCTTCGATCAGTGCAGCCCGCCTTCCAGGCCCAAGGAATGTGGTTTGTTTTTGTTGATGTATATATCTATGCGCATAGCCATATTTGATTTCTCTTTGATGAATCGATGCTGTAGTCAGAATACACCTCGGTTGCATGAAGTTTGTAAAAATGTGGTCGATCGTTTTCCATCAGGTTTTTGTGTCGGACTGGTTTTTTGATACTTTGAATTCAACGGTTTTGTAGGTGACTTGCTTTTTCAATGGCGTCGATTCTCAAACACGCATATTCAAAATTTCGACCCTTGGTTGTTCTCAGCACTAGATTCGCTTCAGTGGATTCGGCAATCAAAGAGACGCACACGGGACAGGTATGAATTCAAACATAGGTGAGACATTTTCTTCTGCAGAAATTCGCTCCAACTGACTACCAGGTAGCACGATTTACACAAAGTGAGAAGTTGGTGAGTTTTCCCTTTTCATGAATCCTTATCAACTATCTTTAATCATCCGCAACGATCAAAATCACAACTAGATGTCCAAGGTTTGGTTTTGCCTGCGTATTTCCAGGACACCACATGCGTCTGTTGAATGTTGCAATGATTCTAGCTTTGATAACTCGTTGGTCGACACGCTACACTGAATGCCGCTGGACAATTAGAAGATCACTGTTGAATTACTTGTCGTTTTTCTATTATACGAAAGTGAATACAGTAAAAGGGGTAAATCCCATGATCCGAAGAAATGCTGTAAGTGGGAAGGTATGAGGAACATTCAAGCTAGAACCAGCTTGTTAATTCTGCGTTTAAAGACAAGGATGTCGTACGTTGGAGGAAGGCCGAAAGGAGAGTGTTCCACAGTTGTGCTGTTCTTGGGAAAAAAGATTGAACGTAAGAAATGCGACACCTGGGGAAAGTCACTTTTAAGTGGGTGGCTATCCGCTTGTGCGCGGGATCTACGAGGAAGAGGGAAAGTTGCGAAAAGGTCATCAGAGTAAAATCCCAATTAGTATCGATAGAACAAGGATAAAGAAGGGACTGCCCGACGGTGAGCTATTGACTGCAAGTTGGGCGTTGGGGACGGGTCGTTGATGAGACGGATGGCCTTATGCTGAGCCCGATCGAGAATAGAAAGCGAGATGAACGAAGCTCCACCCCACAAACGACTGCAGTATTCAAGTATAGGGCGAATCTGAGCTTTGTAGAGCGAGGGGAAGTGAATGGGTGTGAAGAAACGTTTGGCACCGAAGAGGAAACCGATTTAGCGCGCAGCGCGGGAAACAAGTACATAAATATAAGGTGACCATGAAACAGTAGGAGATAAGAAAAGACCCAATAGGTTGCATGATTCCGTGGAACGGAGTGTTCTAGTTGAAATTCAAGGAAGGGGATAAAGTGCGTGTTTAAGAGAAATGGACGTAAGGGAAATTTTACTGGCACTGAACAGAACACAAGTACTACAGCCCCAAGCAGAGATAAGGCCCAGATCAGAATTTAAGGAGAAACTAAGGAAGGAGCGATCGTCACTAATGTTGGAGTTAGCGATGCGCGAAGAGGAATAGGACAGAGAAAAGTGCAGAGTATCGGCAAAGGCGTGAATAGGATTTGAAGTTGACGAAAGATCATCCATAAACATCAGAAAAATGGAGGGGGGAAGTACAGAACCTTGGGGAACACCAGCATTCACAGGCACTTACTTACTCACTTATACCTTGACTAATATACCGGGAATAGCGGATACAGAAGACAATCTGTGGTTCTAGAATTGGGGGAATTATCAGATTGACAAGAGGCTGAATGTTTTAAGGGTTACTTGGGTCTTTAGAGAAGGAAATACTCCACCATAACCCACGCGGACAAATGGGATTTGGCAAACCCTAAACGAAGCTCTCAGCTAAAAGTCTGATCCATAAGGTATTGGGGTGTCAATCCTGTTTAAAGACAGCTAAATTACTTTCATGGGGACTTTGCTGACTTATCGCCTAAGACGTTTTAGTTTCGATTTCGTGTTTTGTTTCCTCGTACGTTGGTTATCAATACGCCGTTAGGTATTGGCTATCTTTATATACCCACCTAGGCAAGCGAAACATAATCGGGATGATATTTCATTGGCTGAATACCGCTCAGCTTGGGTCGGCAGTACCTGTCCAATATGGTTCGAAGACTTGTCCCCCCATCGAGAAGAAGCCTCAAGTGCCCTCCTCCTCCGTTCATCTAGCGGCGAGTTTTGACCCCTAAACTACTCACGGCGATAGTAAATGATTAAAAGAAAAGCTAGCAAGTGTTTTAGCATCTAGTCTTGTGAAACAATTTTTTGTCTGGTCTTAACTCATTGACCGTCCAAGCATAATTGAATCTGGTGAAAGCCATTCTTGACAACTCATAGGGTCGTGAGAGTACACATCAGTCATCATACTATGTCGAAGTGTAGTTTTACTTTGATAGGTGGGGGGCAGTATAAGCTCCTTAGGTGCATCCCCAAGTGAAACAGACGAATGGCCTGTTATATCGTGTGGGACTGGCTTGAAATAAAGTACGAAGCAGCCCGAGTAGCCAAGTAATATAACTGTGTTTAGAGCCGTTACGTACATGGTGGATTCGGATTATTCACCGTTCCTAAAGAGATTTATACTGCTTCCAGCGTTTTCTAATGACAAGTTGTCATTGACTAGTGATTTTGTTTTCTATGAACGTTCGGCCTCTCATTATTTAGAGTACCTACTTCCTTACTAAACGTTTTGGTATTTTAACTTCAACGCCGATCTCTCAGCAATGACAAACTTTGTGACTAGAAAAACTTTTATTCGCTCCCATTAATTTAATGTTGTTCATCAGAGTGGAGCTGCTTTTTTCTCGTCACCAATTCACGTGATTTTTCTGTTCCTCACGTCACAGGTCAATCCCAATTTCTCAGAAAAGCTGATTTCTGAAGTACCTCCCATCCTTTGCAAAGAACATATCGTCTGTTGTGATGGTGGTGAGGGTGCACTAGGCCACCCGAAAGTGTACATCAATTTAGTAAGTTGTTTCTGGGTGCAGATTTTATTTCCCAATAATTTTCTTAAATGTTGGTAGTAGTGCAATTCGGAATTCTGGATGCTTCGGTTCTGTTAATCCGCTAGTAAATATCTCAAAGCCGCAGTATGGTCAGGGGTGGGTGTCTAGGGTTTTTTATTACACACCTACGTGTGATGAACAGCAGACGGGGCGAACCCCATAGTCACGAGGACCGGCTGTTCAGTGGTGGAAACCGGCAACCTAAACCCCAGGACTTGGAGTGGCGAACCACATAAAGCCCCGATAGGTTACGCGTGATATTGAACCGGACGACAGCAGAGCTGCCTACCACCAAAGTNGGGGGGGGGGGGCGGTGGTGGGGCTCGAACCTCGGACCATAGGGTCCAAAGCACGCCGGTGATAGCGGCTAAATCACTGCGTATGGTCACCTTTCCCTTGCACCTCGCAAAATACTCCCATACGACCAAGCGTTTCGAATAGCCTCTGCTGATGACGCCCTACCCACTGCCTTCTCGTGGCAGAGGTGTTTCCCACCAACGTGAGAGGACGAAAAGGCGACATCCGGGATTATAACAGGGTTGGTGAACCACTGGCAGTTCACCTAGGGGAGTTTGCCAAAACCCTTGATTCCAAACCAACCATGAGGGGCGTACGAACCACACACAACTGTATGGTTGTGACAGTGGTCACCGGCTCGATTGGGCGTCGAGGTGTATTGGGCACCTTGGACGTTTGACCCCGTCCGAAGGGCGTATGGTCCGATGAACTGGACACCGGCCTGAAATGGATTGCGGTTTTCGCACACCGCCCCGCCGCCTTGCGGGTTAGGCTTTGGATAACCAAAGGCTCAAGTTGTGGATTCCCCAAGAGAATTCACCTACCCTGTCCCGGGCAACTTGGCAGTATTCAGCCCACAAGCCAATCATGGAACGCATTTCTTTTTCATAAAGGATATTGCACCATGATTTGCTTGGCACAAAGTCTGCTCTCAGACAGTTTCAGTTTGAACAACCATTAACCATGCACTTTCGTGCGCCGGTTTTGGTTGCTGTCTTTTGGCTATCCATTGGGATGAAGAATAGGAGAAGAAAGGAAAGTTGAAAGTGGAGTCGAAAAGAAAACGGAGAAGTTCAGTGGTCTAAGATTGGAAAGAAATTGTTTACGACACCCAGCCATATCACTCAGTGTCTCTAACCATCGGTTACGATCAGCCCGAGGTCCCCAGCCAAGGAGCCTAACGGGACCTATGTAACCTAGTCTCCTGGTTAGGGTTTTCATACCCTCGTGCCAGGTCTTAACTTGACCACCCTTGGCTTTTTTCCACTCGGTATCTGCTTCGGCGAACATCGCTCGCCGCGGCAACCTACCTGGTGACATGCGTAGCCTATG